TTGTAGTTCTGATTGTATCAGTGTGTGGTGCCACTAAACTGTCTAACACAATAACCATGTGTTCTGTATTTACTTTAATCATTTGTTTATTTTTTTGTTATCCTAGCAACCTAGGTAACAACTGTTTTAACAACAGTTTTTCTGATTTGAATCTAGTGGATTACACTACTTAACTATTCTCTGTAAATTAAATGACCTTTTACTAGAATGATTTGTTTTAGTGCGTCTATCCGCTAGAAATGGTGACCCCGACTAACAAGTAAATTATTTCATACTAAATTAATGTTTTTCCTACACTAAATTTTAACCTTCTACCAAAACTTCATTTATTTTTCACCTTTCTCCAAATTATCGTTTTACGCCATGGACCAAGAACTTTTGGAGCGCCTAGTTCAATTAGAGAGTGAGAATGCCAACCTACAAAGACAACTTCAAGATTTGAATGGAAGACAAGAACAAAATCACATTTCTGTACATCCTCAAGAAGCCAACCTACCTGATCTTCCACCAGTTCTACCACAGCATCAGCCAGATCATACAGCCCATTCCGACGAATGACATGAAGATCATCACATCCACCGGGTAAGCATAAAACTTCCACCATTCTGGAAAGAGAAACCAAAGCTCTGGTTTGCCCAAGTTGAGGCTCAGTTTACACTGGCTCACATCACGAGTGAAACAACTAAATACTCGTATGTAATTTCACATCTTGATGAGCGCTATGCTAATGAAGTGGAGGATCTTATAATAGATCCACCTGTTGAAACTCCTTACTCTACTCTTAAGTCTGAAATAATCAGACGGTTGTCTCTATCTGAGGAGCAACGCATTCGTCAGCTATTGATGGAGGAGGAACTAGGTGACAAAACTCCTTCTCAGTTCCTACGCCACCTTCGATCACTAGTAGGTTCGACTACTATACAAGATAGTTTACTGAAAACTATTTGGATGCAGAGACTTCCTGCTCATGTACAAAGTATTTTGCAAGTCCAAACAAGTGCCCAAACTGACACACTTGCAATTACTGCCAACAAAATTCTAGCAGTCCAACCTAACGCATCTTTTTGCCATTCTCTCACTAGTATGCCTACATCTTTGAATGCCGTTAATTCACCAAATCCTAAATCTTCATTTTCTGATGACCCAAAATTAACTGAAGTTTTATCAAAATTATCTGCTTTGGAGTTGCAAATGAAAAATATGCGTAAAGATGTTGATTCCCTACGTGACAGGCGACCTAGGTCACGTCAGAGGAATTTGTCTAGTAGTCGTTATCACGCAGGTAGCTCCTCTGACACTACAGAGCAAACCAATCTATGCTGGTACCACAAGCGTTTTGGCTATCAAGCTGAGAAGTGCATTCCACCATGCAATTTCACTTCTCCGACAAACTCCAAAGGCAGCCCGTGATGGCGTCAGCTGACTGCCAAGCTGGAGGGCGCCGCCTACAAATCGTCGACCGTACAACTAATACAACATTTTTGATTGACACTGGATCCGACATATGCTGCCTCCCTAAATCATTCGTTTGTAAGAACCAAAAGCATATAGAATATGAACTTCGTGCAGCAAACAACTCTGCCATTCACACCTACGGTATGATGACATTAACATTAAACTTAGGGCTAAGACGAGCTTTTACATGGAATTTTGTCATTGCTGATGTTAATACAGCGATTATAGGCTCTGACTTTTTAGCACACTTTGGATTGCTTCCTGACTGTCGTAATCAACGGTTGATTGACAGTGTAACAAACCTTTCTGTTCTTTGTCAATGTACCTCAATCCCTCATTTCAGCATAAAAACTATCACACCCAATTCTCCAACTTCATCAATACTGGCAGAATTTCCCATGATTACCCGACCCTCTGGTACACCAAGAAAAGTGCTCCATTCAACCTTGCATTTCATCAAAACGACCCCTGGCCCCCCAGTTTCATCTCGTCCACGTCGACTCGCTCCTGATCGGCTTGTTATAGCCAAAGCCGAGTTTGATGCCATGCTCACCGATGGTACTGCACGTCGATCTGATGGACCTTGGTCATCACCCCTTCACATGGTCCCTAAGAAACCTGATGGATGGCGCCCCTGTGGAGACTACCGTGCTCTCAACGCTAGGACTATTCCTGACAGATATCCTGTTAGACATATCCACGATTTCACCCATTCTCTCAGAGGTTGCAAGTATTTCTCTGTGATCGACCTAGTGAAGGCCTACACACAAATCCCTGTCAACCCTGAAGACATTCCGAAGACAGCCATTACAACCCCCTTTGGATTGTTTGAATTCCCCTTCATGTCCTTTGGCCTCCGCAACGCAGGACAAACTTTTCAGCGTTTCATCGATGAAGTAGTTTTTGGTTTAGACTTCTGCTTTCCTTATATAGATGACGTCTTAGTTTTCTCTAAGGATGAGACTGAACATGAAGCCCATCTACGAACTCTATTCAATCGGTTTTCTGATTATGGCATACTCGTTAACGTAAATAAGACTGTTTTGAAAGCTCCAAAGGTTACCTTCCTAGGATATGAGGTATCGTCTGCTGGTACTCGACCACTTCCTGAACGTGTTGAGGCTCTGCAACAATTCACCCGTCCCTCTACTGCAAAAGGTTTGCGTCGTTTTCTCGGCATGTTGAATTTCTACCGCAGATTCATTCCTTCAGCAGCCAAGCAACAAGCAGCTCTCCATGATGCCCTCTCATCTCTACGTGGAAACCAACCTGTAAATTGGACTCCTGAATTGGATGCTGCATTCCTATCCTGCAAAGAACATCTCTCCAATGCTACCTTGCTTGTTCACCCTGACCACAAGGCCCCTCTCGCATTGTTCTGTGATGCCTCGAGTACCCATGTAGGAGCTGCTCTCCAGCAGATGGTTGACAATAAAACATGGGAACCTCTCTCTTTCTTTTCACAGAAACTGACACCAAAACAATCCCTTTGGCCAGCCTGTTACCGTGAGCTTTTCGCTGTATATGCCGCCATTCGTCACTTTCGTCACTACCTTGAGGCAAATCATTGCATAGTTTTCACAGACCACAAGCCAATAACATTTGCCTTCAGTCAAAAACGTGAAAAACTACCTCCTGTTCAGCAAAACCAACTAACATTCATTTCACAATTCACTACAGACATAAGACATGTTTCTGGATCGGCCAACCTAGTAGCTGACGCATTTTCTCGTGTGGATTCATTGTCAACTACGGCTCCCAGCATTGTAGATGCCAAAACTTTGGCACATCATCAAGACTCTGACCTTGAGCTACAAGAGATCCTTAAGGGAGAGACATCTCTTAATTTGAAGCTTGTCAAAATTCCTGGAACAGACCTTGATGTATACTGTGACACAACAACTTCAGTACAACGACCCTTTGTCCCTGAGCCCCTTAGACGCTCAGTTTTTAATTCTATACACAATCTAAGTCACCCTGGCATCAAAGCTTCGGCAAAACTTGTTTCTAATCGCTTTGTTTGGCCCCGAATTCAACAAAACTGTCGAAACTGGGCCCGAGCCTGTGAGAAATGTCAACGTGCTAAGATCTCCCGTCATGTATTTACACCCCATGGATCATTTTCACTCCCATCATCAAGATTTGATCATGTTCACATTGACATCATTGGACCACTTCCACCATCCGGACCATACAAATATTGCCTAACAGCTATCGACCGCTACACCAGATGGCCAGAAGTTCATCCATTGAAAACCATCACCGCAGAAGAAGTAGCTGAGGCTCTGGTGATGTGCTGGTTTTCCCGTTACGGCTCACCCTTGCGCATCACAACTGATCAAGGACGCCAATTTGAGTCAGCATTATTTCGTGCCCTTGGAAAGACCTTCGGTGTAGAGCGAATCAGAACTTGCGGCTATCACCCTTGTGCTAATGGTTTAGTCGAGAGATTCCATCGGCAGTTTAAGGCAGCTCTCATGTGCCACAATGATTCAACATGGCTTGAAGCACTTCCCATCGTACTACTCGGCATTCGCAGCGCATATCGTGAAGACCTTCAGGCATCTACTGCCGAATTAGTTTTTGGCCACCAACTCCGTCTACCTGGAGAACTTCTAGACCTCCCTCAAGACACAACTCGTGAGGAGGACCCGGCTGACTATGTAGTTCGCTTACGTCGACAGGAGTTAAAACGGTGTACTCACATATTTTTGCGAGATGACTCTGTTAGACGATCACTACAACCACCTTATACTGGACCGTTTCCCGTGGTATCTCGTGATGATAAAACTATGACTATAATCCATCGTGGTAAACGTGTGAAGGTGACGTTGGACAGAGTAAAGCCCGCGTATCTATTGCAAGATCTTACTCCTTCAACACATACACCCATCCATAATAAACATTCCAGAAATCCACCCTCCACAGTGTTCCCACTCAAGACCCTACTCTCAAGCCAACCCAAGCCTTACGTGACCCGATCTGGTCGTACTGTGAAATTTAAAGTGCCCGGTCTTCCAGACTCCGCAGGGGGCTAATGTGGTGCCACTAAACTGTCTAACACAATAACCATGTGTTCTGTATTTACTTTAATCATTTGTTTATTTTTTTGTTATCCTAGCAACCTAGGTAACAACTGTTTTAACAACAGTTTTTCTGATTTGAATCTAGTGGATTACACTACTTAACTATTCTCTGTAAATTAAATGACCTTTTACTAGAATGATTTGTTTTAGTGCGTCTATCCGCTAGAAGTGTGTTGTTGGATGTTATGTATACCGGTACTAGAAGTTTTGACAGCGATAGGTAGCTTCTCTAGGAGACTTGTGATAAACACAGCATGCGAAAGGCCATTTCTAATGTTGGTGTTGGTTCTTTCATCTGAAGTTATGATGATAACTGAAGCATTAGTTGACCCGAGAGCTTATTCATCTCTCTTTTCTCTCATTGACCATCTTTATTCAGCCTAACTTTTAAAGCTTAAAGAGCTCCTTTTGCTCTCTAACGATGAGGTCAATTATTTTAACCTTACAATTTCGTTCCAGCTGAGAAAGAGTTGGTGGAGTTCTTAAATGAAGAAATTGCTGCTGAAAAGAAGCTTCAAAAAACTAAAACAATCCCCTCAGAAGTTTGCGGGTTTAAAGTTACTCTTGAGGGATCTGAGGTCACCTTAACCAAATCAACTGGTGAAGAAACGTAAGTAGGCTACGGATTATTTATTTACTTATTTAAATTTGAATAGAAAACCCTTTAAAAAAACCTTGGATCATAATAAGCTATATAAAGTGTAAGCTAATATCTATTTATAAAACTTTTGAAAATATATTACAATACTTAAAGTTATTTATAAAACTTTTAAAAATATATTACAATACTTAAAGTAATACACCGTTATTTACTTTGGTTACAGGATAGAAATCAATTTCAATGTAAACCACAGTGTTGATACTGACATGGAACCGGAAATGACTCCCAACATGGATAAACCAGAGATCGAGCTTAGGTCCAAGCCACAGTTTGAGGTTGACATTAAGAGAGGGAAAAAGACTATGGGCTTCACTTGCTCATTTGTAAATACTAGTGGACAGGATGAGCATCAGGACGACAACTATTGTAAGTTAACTATTCAACTATTTATCACAAGTATTATGAAAAATTGTTGGAAGAAAACTGTGATATTGGATCACATGTTTAATAGTCTTGATTTTATTGTCTCGTTGAAAGCATGTGGTTTATGTTTGTTTCTGTTTTTGTTGTGATGATTTGAGTTAGTGTTGGGTTGGCTTGAAGATTAACCCTTTGAGTGCCAATGTCCGGGGAACCGGACGTTTCTAAAACGAGCCAAAAGTGCCGATGTCCGGCCGACCGGACGTTTTTAGAACGAGCCAAAAGTGCCAACGTAATGATCGAACAGTTGTCATAACAACCGAATGAATACTCGGATTCTTTTAACCCATATATTAACATTGAGTCGAAAGTTACTAGATGCGATACATCGATTTTCGTTGGTCGAAATATCCAAAATTCGATTTTTACGAAATTTTTACCTAAAAATCGCCAGATCGCGTTCGGCATTTTTAGCGCGACCTTCGGGAAAAATCATCGGCATTTTTTGAGCGTTACTTTTATTTCTCGCCTGGCACGTTCTTTCTGTAACTAGTTTGTTTTATTTTTTGTGATTATACTACACTGGCGACGAGGATGTCTAGCTGAAGAGTGATAAGGAAGTTGATGAAGAGTTGGAGAGGAAAATGGAGAAGTTTGTTTGTTGAGAAATACAAAAGTGAAGAAACAGCAGAAGAGTATATTAAACATTTTCAACCAGTTTGTTGGGTGAAAGGGAGGTTCAGATGAGCGTAGTAAGGAAGCGAGAAAATACTTACAATTGGCTTATGTGGGAAGTGAACCACTCCAGAAGATTCAAAATTATTTCATCCCGAAGAACCTTGATTCTTGTTCATATGAAGAAATTAAGACTGCATATCGGCATTTCAAGTAGGCAATAGCCATGGACGTCTGGTAAGCGCCAGCCCCTTAGGGGGAGCCTCCAGTGACACTCCTCCATCCAGGTTGGTGGGGTGTTTAGCTCTCGGAGAGCTGGAAGTGCGCCATCAATCTCCCATCTACCTGTGACTATGGTTCTTTGGGCTTCGGCCTGCTTGCTCTGCCCGACCAGCATTCTGTGGGGCAAATCCTCGACTTTGGAAGTAGCCTTTCCTGGAGGTGAAATCGGGCAAGTACCCGTAAGCTCACGGAGACACTCTAGGGGAACGTAACTTTCCGCAGTGTGAGGGCAACGGCTGGGCGCACTCCATCAGCCAATCCCTGTCTCTGAGACTGGAAGGTATGGTTATCTAGAGTGTGGGGGGTTCTCCCTGGAACCTCAATTGAGCAAAGGGTGTCGCCACCTTTGGTGGATAGGTTTATCCGGGTGGGACCCACTTCTATTCCTGCCTCCTTTTGGGAAACCCTGATGGCCTGGCAGTGATGTTGGGCTTGATGGGCAAACGAAGTAGATCGGGTGCTGGGTTCAAGCCCGCTGGGGGTGTTCAGGGATCTATCGCCTTGGTCACCTCTAGTTTCCCAGCAACTGGGTAAGGCCTCGATCGGGTAGTGGTGTAAATAGGTGGTTGGGGTTCCCCCATCAGCTTGCTGGTGGTCCCCTTCTTCCTGGCTTTGATGGCGGGTTCTGCCTGTCAGGGATTGGATAGGTCCTGAGTGTTGCTTGCACTAAATGTGTCAGGGCATTCCACTATGGTCCTTCTGGGTTTTGTACCTGGGGGAACCCAGGTGGAGTGATGCTTAAACAAGTAGCCGGTATCCCTGGTTAGGATTGAGGGGCAACCCTCTCTCCAAAGGGGTGCTTCGGCAGCCGGTGAGCCTGATGACCTTAAGTCATCCTCCCATGGTGTGCCAAAGGTCGGTGCGTATGCTTCGGCCTACATCATGGGGCCCGGGTGTGTTTAATTACAGGTACCGGGTTTGCAGTCCGGGCGCTTTGGCTCTTGTGACAAAACGAAATGGAAATGGAAATGTTCATTGAATACCCCTGCGATGAAACGACGTAACTACAACCATAATATAAAACATAGCCTACTGCCTGTGTTGGTTAGTCCTATGCTACAACGATCGATTGGAACAATTGATGTTTGGAGCCAAAAATATTCATATTGATATATAATCGGAAAAATTGATGTTTTATTAAAATATTATACAGGGTGAGTTTTAAATGAGTTCCTCCCCTACTTTTTTCTACATTTCTTAAGATATCAACTCCGGACCACGTCAGATCATTGTAGAGTAGTAAGTACTTCATTTTGACTGGGTATAAATTTTTGGCCGCCATCTTGGATCTGCCATTTTGAAATGTGACAAATTAATTTAAATATGAAGGTGGTGTTGTGACCCATCATTTTGAACTAGTTTTTTATGCTGAACTCAATGCCGCAAACAGTCTTTTATTTGCATGTTTGGTTTTTGAATTATTGAAATTTTAAATAAGATAATTTTAATATCTCATCAAGAAAGCTTGATATCCAAAAACGTATTGCGGCATTGAGTTCAGCATAAAAAAGTTGTTGAAAATGATGGGTCACAACACCACCTTCACATTTAAATTAATTTGTCACATTTCAAAATGGCAGATCCAAGATGGCGGCCGAAAAAAATACATCCGTTATAACCAAGTGAAAATAGGTCGACAATGAATGGTGGTGTATACTTATCTTTATCTAGCACTATTTCGAGATTATGGTCTTAGTTTGTAAATGCACAATGTTAAAATGGGCTAACAATAAAGTTATAAAAAGTCCTTATAACCTTTGAACGGATAAAGATTTTCTAAAACTATTTGCAGCATTGTAATCAGCGTAAAATTTTAGTTTGGAATAATGGGTCACAACCCTACCTTTACATTTGAAAAAAACTTTGTATCCAAAATGGCGGATCCAAGATGGCGGCCAAAAATTTTTACCCAGTCAAAATGAAGTACTTACTACTCTACAATGATCTGACGTGGTCCGGAGTTGATATCTTAAGAAATGTAGAAAAAAGTAGGGGGGGAACTCATTTAAAACTCACCCTGTATAAAGCCATAAGTCAAGATTTAGTTTACTAATATAATTGAACGTCAAATCTAGGTCTTTGTAAGACAAAAGAAAATCACACGGTTTTAAACTTTAACCCAATTTTATACTCTTTTTAAACAAACACGTCCTACATAACGGTTCTCGATATTTATCAATGTATCTTATCTAAACCCTTCCCACAATAATAGACTCACACACAAATAACGACATCAAAGCAATTGTCATTTGCTCCATTGAAACACGAACGTCGATTGGCTGACATGACAGTGCAGCGTGGCCTCTCGACCAATGAGAACTCTTGTTACATACTTTGATTTATCTTAGATAGTCAACATTCACCATTCATTTTAATATTACAAAATCGACATGGACTATGCGTATGGTGTTTTTCAATCAATACTCATGTTATAGTAGCACTTAAACTCTTAAACTAGGTAGATAGTACAGATATAATACGGATCTACTTTTTGGTGCAATAGGCAAGTGCAAGCCTAACCCTCTGACTTCAACGATGTTGTAATTGAATCGAATTTGTCTAATGATACGTAATGCAGCGATGAAACTAAACATTTAAACAAGTTTAGGTTATTTATTTTATTCTAAAAATAAAAATTACACATTTAAAGGTCTGACTTATTGATACAGATATTTTTTAGTATAATTTTGTGTTGAGGACACTCGCGCTTCGGTTGTTTGAGACTGAATTCTGACTGTCTGACATCTTGACTTAAAATTAGGGATGGTCAAGTCTCGAAATTTCGGGAAATTTTCGGGAAATTTTAAATCTCGTTACACGAGACGAGATTTTGTTTTGGCCGAGATTTTTATCGAGACGAGAATAAAAAAAAAAAAAAAAAAAAAAAAAAATTAAAAACGCCTGCAGAAAGTCAATGCAATACCCGCAATACAGGAGTGTGTTGTAGTTGCGTTTCCTTTGCGAAGGCGTTCTTATTTAATTAATTCTTTAAATGTAAATATTACTTTAACTATTTTAATAATATTACTTTAATAACATTTGAGAAGTTTTGTTAAGTGTAAGCAGTGTGAGGAATGTTTTATTACTATAAAAAGTCAAAACAAGTACCTAACTATTTTATAAAAATTAATATTGCTTTTATTTTATGATTTATTTTATTTTAGGATAAGTTGAACTCTATCCTAACTGATATCACTATGTTTCCTAATCGTAGGCATTTTTAATAAGTTAGGCGTGATTAATAAAAAAATGTTATGCTGATGTTTTTTAATAAAAGATTGTAAATATTCTTGCCTATTATCATTATTTTTGTATTTAAACAGTCATCTAACAATGTTACAAAATCAGGTAAAAATTTTGAACGTGCATTTCCCGTTGTGTATGAGAAGGGAAATCCCGTCTCGATCTCGTCTCGAAATTTTATGAGAAATAAAAAATCTCGTCTCGTCTCGTCTCGAACTAAAAATCCAATCTCGTCCATCCCTACTTAAAATGTAGATTGTATTGTGTTGTGCAATATCATCTGCCTGCAGAGAGAACAGCTGAAGCTAAACTTTAGCTGTTTTGAACTAAATAGTGTTCTAAGTTGGTTACTAAAGTTGTTAGCGTGATTATCTGTTAAAATTTATCTAGAATTTTGTCATTTCTGAATTTAAATCACTACCGAAATTGTCCGTGATATCACTATTAATCGTAAATCGCGTAGCAGTGACGACGACAATTGGCGACCGTGACAGGATTGACATAAGAAATGACAAAACTAGAAGATGATTCAACAGCAATGCAGGGGAAAGCTCTGGAGGGACGAAGGCTAACGGCTTCGGGAGGCGGAGGTGACTTGGAGAGGCACCTTCGTTTGGACCTTAAGTTAGAAGGTGAAGACTGTAACACCTGCGAGTTGCCACCACTGGTAGGAGGAACCACGCAGTTAGTACAGCAATCACGAGCCAGCGGAACCGGTTAGTTTCTTTGAAGAGAAGATTTTAGCACAAGTACAGACTCAGTGTGAAAAAATGGATACTTATTTGGCAGATATTGACAATAAAATTTTGTCCTCAATAAGAAAAGTTACGCTGTTACGGGAGTTTGAAGTGGAAGGCAGCAAAACGTATCTTGAGATACCTAAAAGAAACTATTGAAAGGGGTATTGTGTACAAAAAATCAGGGAGTCTTGAGATAGAAGCATACGTTGATGCGGACTGGGCTAACGACAAAGAAGACAGGCGTTCTCAGGATATACAGGATACAGGATATATTTTCAAGTTAACAAATGGACCTATAAGCTGGGAGAGCAGGAAACAACGCACAGTGGCATTGTCAAGTACAGAAGCAGAGTATATGGCACTTAGTGATGGAGCAAAAGAAGCTACATTTCTGCGAAGTCTGTTGAAGGAACTCTTAGGAAAAAAGGATGCGATTGTAATTTACAATGATAACCAATCCGCCTAAAAACCATTAGTAAACCGCATGTTGAATCGCAGAACAAAGCATATTGACATACAAAATCATTTCATAAGAGAAGGTGTGGAACAAGGGGACATTATTCTGAAGTATAAGCCAACAGCAGAAATGCCAGCAGATATTTTGACATAAGGTGTTCCTGGCCCACAACATCAAGAGTTAGTGCAATTAATTGGACTGGATCAAGTTGATAAACATTAAGGGGTGGTGTTAGAGAAGTAATATTTCTCATCTTGTCTTTACATCATCACATGACAAAATATTAATTGTCTTGTTTACCTTTTGTATGTTATGGTTTTGTGTAATTGTTAAAAGTATGTATTAATAATTTGTTCAGTATAAAAACGTTTTACCTTTTGTATGTTATGGTTTTGTGTAATTGTTAAAAAGATGTATTAATAATTTGTTCAGTATAAAAATGTTTTACCTTTTGTATGTTATGGTTTTGTGTAATTGTTAAAAAGATGTATTAATAATTTGTTCAGTATAAAAACGTTTTACCTTTTGTATGTTATGGTTTTGTGTAATTGTTAAAAAGATGTATTAATAATTTGTTCAGTATAAAAACGTTTTACCTTTTGTATGTTATGGTTTTGTGTAATTGTTAAAAAGATGTATTAATAATTTGTTCAGTTTAAAAACGTTTTACCTTTTGTATGTTATGGTTTTGTGTAATTGTAAAAAAGATGTATTAATAATTTGTTCAGTATAAAAACGTTTTCCATAATATATTTGGGCTATTTATTACATTAACTATTTATTTGAACTTTTGAATATTAGCCAAAAAAATCACCTGAAAACACTGATTTTTTTTGTTTTGCGTCATTGAAAAATCATGATTTCAGGAAACTATCACAATTTTGCCGCAAAAAACACAGATATTAATCTAGATTTTGTATGATACTAATCAAATGTTTAAAATAAAGCTGCATAATTTTAAATTGATATATATTTACATGAAACGGCAACAGTGTTTGTTTCATATTGGGAAGGGCATACCCTTAAATGGCTTTTGACAGTCAGGATTGAGGGGAGCCTGACCAAAAACAATACCCGCGGCACCACTGAAAGCACAATGCAGTAGTTTTAACAATATTGTAATAAGCTAATGATTATATTTGACGGTGTTGCAGCTGATGATATTTTTGGCATCGATGAAGTGACTTGCTACGAGGGAGAGTGGCAGGATAGCAACTATGCTGTGTCTGGAGAGGTGTTAGATGGGGTGAGTTCATATACTAACCCTGACATCCTTGCGAAGGGGCTTATAAGTATAAATTAGAATCCTAAATATTTAATAGTAAATAGTAAACAATAAATATAGGGAATATGTGAAATGCCTATATTAAGCAAAAGAAATTACGATGCAGTACACTCTTGATTATCCAAGACCCGGTTATAGTCATAGTCATAGTCATATAATCTTTATTCAAGAGTACAACATGTTGCACCAGAATCGCATTATACAATTTAATTATATTTTTAAAACTAACCATATATCAAAAGGCTAAATAAAAATACAAAAACTGGTCAAGCAAATTTACAACACAGTCAACCAACAAATTCATCTAGGGAATAGACAAGCTTAGATAACATAAAAGTTTTTATTTGTATTTTAAATGTATTTTTGTCTCTTATTTGTAAAATATTATCAGGTAGAAAGGTTATAAAACTTAATCCCATTAATGAGTTGTGATTTGAAAAACTGATTTTATGTCTGTGCCTTGTCCCATAGCTGTGGCATAAACCAAAAGGTCTCAAATTTTTGTAAATTATTCTTTACAAACAAGATCAAATCAAAGATATATTGGGCAAAATATTGACAAAAACATTAAGAACACAAAGTTTTGAAAATAGTTCTTTCACTGAAGTTCTCCAATCTTGATTGTTTAATATGATGTGAAGTGCTTGTTTTTGAAATGATAATATTTGTTCCAAATTTTCTTGCGATGTTCCATATAAAATTATACCAAAAGAGACGTTGGAGTGAATTAAAGCAAAGTAAATTATTTTTAATGTTTCCAAAGGACATAATTTTGAAATTTTTCAGAGCAATAATCCCTGTTGAAATCTTACGGCCAAGATGTTCAATATGAAGGATCCAATTTAAATTTTTTTTTGTCCAATACAAGTCCTAGGAATTCAAAATTTTGCAGTTCTAGACATTTTCCTTCCATCACTTCTGATCTGACCTCTTCTTCACTTTTTGAAATATTGTTGCTTGGATAGTCAATGAAGTCCTGTTCATAGGTTTTTTTGATCATTGAATTAATTTCATCCATTTCCTTTTTCATATTGCTTTTGAACATCACATATTCTTGATTGATTCTACTTTGATATTGCTCTTTCCCAGTAGGGCCATCGATTGTCCAGCCAAGCTTTGATTAAGTCATATTGGGGCATTTCCAGGTCCAATCACGACCATTTGTGTGTAATTAAATATGTTAGATTGATGGATTTTAACTTTAACGACTTCCTTTGGAATGATAAATCGGACAAATGGAAATTTGCTTAGTCTGTGGGTTTGCTGTGTTGAGAGTATTTTGGATTTTATTTTTAATAAGTTACACTTTAGCATTATAATCAACGAGGATTATCGGTGTCCCATCTTCTGTTTCAGTATCTCTACGATTTGTTCATGAATCTTTTGGAAGAAAAGGGAGTCACAAATGAGTTGATGGAGAAAGTTTCTGACTTTGCTACTGCCTATGAGCACAGTTCTTACATTGGAATGCTAGAGAAGGTTCAACACTTTGCTGCTGGAAAGTAGAATGTGATTGGTCTGATAAGCTAGCTCTATCTATGTAAATTAGTCAGGTTTTGTATGTTACATTTATTATATTCTCGCATTTATTGCATTACATGATTTTGTTAGATATTATTGTTGTGTTTATTGTCTACCTTTAGATGTCGATACAGGGTTGGTGAAAAGTCCCGGAACAGTTAAATATTTCAAAAAGTAATAAAGGTAGAGCTTCAAACTTGATAGAGTTACTGGGCATTAAAATAATTTAAACACATTCATTGATGTGCCACTTCCTCATGCTAGGAGTCAGTCTTAAATGTAAACATAAGTTATGCACAATGAATTTAAGGTCTTTACTAGAAGAATACAATGCCACAAATTTGAACTAAAACGGACATTCGAGTCAAAAATGGAACCCGTTAAAAGATATCTTGAATCTGCCATTTTGAATCTTTCATTAGCTGCCATTTCTTACTCTGTTGTTCTAGCTCTGATTTGTGGCATTGTATTCTCCTAATTAAGACCTTTAATTTGATGTGCACATCAACCTATACATCCATTTTCTTCCGGCTGGACTTCTAGTGGGCGACTCCCTAAGGAGGTAGGTTGTGATAGCATAGCCGATTACAAATGCAATGCATCTTTGAATAGATGTAATTTTTGACTCGGTTGTTCGTTTGAGTTCGAGTTTGCGGCACTGTATTTTACCAATAAAGAGCTTTAATTTGATGAGCATTTCAACCTATGCTTACATTTAAGATTTACTTCTGACTCCTAGGCCCCCCCCCCCCCTGAGGAGGTAGCATGTCACTTAATAATGTTTTAAAATGTTTTTTTTTATGCCCAGTGACTTTGTAAGTTTTGTAGAACTTGTTATTTGATTGTTTTTTATATTAAATTATAAATAAACTAGTGAACCTGTGCGGCTCAATGCCCCGCAAAAAACATATGAATTTAGAAAACAAATTCATCGTGTATAAATTGACTCGACGTCGAAAATTAAATATAGTAATAATAAAGCCTTAGAAGGGAAGCAGTCCAGCCATTTTCTAGCTGTATGTGTATTATATTTAGTAAATTAATAGGCTAAAGTGTTCAAGGTTAAGTATGTTAGGCCTATAGGGTAGTTATTTTTTTACACATTTACAACACATTTAACAAAACATTTTATCATATCAAACCAATAGGCCTATGTAGCATATTCTGAGGGTCATAAAATGCTGCTTGAAGAAAACACTTTTAAAAATAAACACTAAAAACAATATTTTTATCACAAAAGCACTTCCATGAATACTACGATGTTAGTCTTAAAGTTACCTTCAGGAATATTATCCTGGTCAGAATTTTCTGTAATGAATATGCATATCCTATTAAAAGGAGCCTTACTTAAAACAACATAAATATATATATATAGTTGTTCATGACCGAAATTGGTCTGGCTAAGAACAGTGCTGCTCTTTAGTTAAAGTGTTTTTGCTGCAAATGCCAAAGATAACAGATATTAGCATCTTTCCAAAAATTAGCCTTTTTAAAATTAAAAGCTAAGTTTGTTTCAGACGGGCAAATTTTTATCCTCAAAATCAAAATATGTCCCTACTCACTTGTTCCAGTTAGGACTTAGCCTACATTCCACTTTACATTTTTGTTAACCGTTCTGATCACATGAAGCCTTGTGCCATTAATGAGGCCCTTTTTGATGCATTAATATCAATAAAACCACTGCCCCCTTTTATTAGTATAATCTGTGTCTTGGCAATCCACTGACCTCTATATTTAAAAACTCAGTTGGATTTTCTAGATGGGTGTCTCCGCCTTCGTCTGTTTTCGAGGACTCACTCTTCTTCCCCTTGGCATACTGACAATTAATTACCATGTTCATGTAGTAATTCATTAAATACTGTTAGTTTTTGCAATGAAAATTTTTGGCTTGGTGCTTTCAAAACTGTTAACTCAAAATACACCCACAAGTAAAAAAGCATCAAGTTACTGGTTAAAAGAAACTATGTTTGTGTAAAAACATTATTCACATGAAGTAGATTTTTTGTTTGATTTGTCGATCAGTTGTTAAGTTTCAAATGAATTATTAAAGTCAAAGACTTGTGATTTTAAATACATAAATTATTATAGTAAAGTTTTCTAAATCATGGTAACTTATTCTCAACTAAATTTTACTATATTTAGCATTAAAATAAAGTAGTGAGATCCATTATGAGTAAACTTTAAGGTACACAATCCTTGATTGAAATGTAGTATACATTAACAGTCATAATACACAGCAATTATTATGTAGTAGACTTTGACTATTTTCAAGTAACAAACATATGTTTCTGTAAATAAAAAGTATCTCCCATGTTATCCTTATGGAGAAATACGAAACTTTGAAGGGCCCCAGGGCCTCACTCTCTAATTATTTCCTTAAAAAGAAGGTTTCCTGCACAACTTCACGTTACGCTCTTTCCAATGACACCAAAAACATGTCAATCGGTTCAGTAGTTTTGGAGGAGTAATTGTCACAAAAAACCTGCTTGCGTATTAAATAAGTATATAGATAATAAATAATTTATATTAAATAGGTAATAAATAATTTATTTAATAACTAGTGGAACCCCGTCGAAATCGACGGTTAATCTTGAGGTTTTATGTAAATTCAGCTAACTGCGATGGATAGAGTGAAGTCATTAAAATCTTAGTTAAATGAAGGGAAGATAAGCAATAATAAGTATGACGATTGTGCTCCCTAAAAAACGTGATTGATGAATTCGTTTAACACAATATTTCCTACCATCGGCTTTAGGTTGCCCTAAAGGTTTTTTAGGAGTCTTATAATTGTTTGTTCATGAGTTTGTTTCATACCAAAGCCACTTTCACTATATGGGAGAATGAGTTCATATAATTAGTCTATCATGTTACGGAAAGAGTCAATATTTATTACTAACCACTAATTCCATCTGCTTTAGGAAAATCATTCAGATTGTATCCGGATTTATAAGTAATATTCATCTTTGGTCATAAAAATACAGAATTCTATCAGCATATTAAATCAGTTTTTTTTTGTTTGATAAAAATATTTGATTCTCCAGAAAGCAGTAACATTCTTACTTCGATGTCAGCAATTTTAATTCCTTCTCTTGCCACATCGACCCATGTATTTAATCATCCTGTTCTTACTTGATAATTCATTAACTTATGGGGTAATTTTGCCTTGGCCATATAGATCACATAAAGCTGTGCATGTATTTCGTGGATTTGAATGAACCATAATTGTAGGAAATTTTATCACAAATCTTGAACATTTGCGGAACCAAATCCATAACCTAGTCCAGCCTTGGTAACAAATTATGAAAATGGGTGATGACACTGTTGTGTTTCCGAATGTTTTGTATGTAGTGAGGTTTAGATGCGTTGTTCGACCTAGCTACATGTGTACATCAAAGTAAAAACTGTGTACACATTTTTTTTTTAAATACCTTGAATTGACATTAGTTCACCTACTTTACCAAAACCATAGACTCCGTAGTTAGTCTATTCCAAAACTTGAACACAGCTCTCATCCTCAACGTACTCATCTATGACACAATTTTCAACCCGATTATCAAAACTTTTATACCAATAAATGAATCTCAGGTGTTCTTTCTTGAATTTAAAAATAATTGGTGATTGAAAGTAGGAAATAAAGCAAGTGCCAACCTTACAATATATAAGCTAACCCGATAAGAAATAGTTATATGTTCCTTTGAAATTAATATCTGACACTTATTTCATAATTTAAAATTTTCTAAGAGCAATAAAGCATAGATTTTTGAACAAAACATTTAAAACGTATCATAAATTCATCATTTTGTTGAAACTATAAAAAACTTGCCATGCGGTGGAGAATCCATTTAAAATCATAAATAATAATGTAAACATTTAATTTTGACAGTTTCAGTAGACCTTTGAATACAATTTTAATATTAACAGCTGGTTCATTAAAATTAGTGTAAAATTATCCATATGGTCGAAATGTAAACAAAATTGCAGAGTGAACTTTAAAGGCCTCTGGGGCAGAGCCCCAAGGAAATTTACCTCGTTTCTATTTTGATGGCTCACCTACAGACCAATACCTTTCTTTAGACACCCCTACCAAGTTTCTACGCCCAGCCTTTCTCTCAAATTAGCTGTGACAAAAACCTCGTTTTCCCCCATAAGAATAACATGGTATGGGAATTTAAAGGCCACTGGGGCAGAGCCCCGAGGGAATTCTCCATGTTTCTCTCTTGATGGCTCATCTACAGACCAGGACCTTTCTTTAGACACCTCTACCGAGTTTCTACGCCCAGCCGTTCTCTCAAAATAGCTGTCACAAAGAAAAACAGTTTCAAATTAATATATAGATTTATAAATATTTTTTTTTCGATATAAACATATCAAAATATTGAATTATTTTACTAATCATCTTTCTACATTAATAAATAATGGTTTAAATACCTTATACTGTCAAAGTGATCCTTTGTAGTCTATATAGGCTACTGCAGTTTCGTTCCCGATGGGAACTTCATCAAACTGACAAGGATATCACATTTTGTTCCAGTGGAAGTTGTTGAAGTTAAAATCCATCAATGTCACACATTTAATTGCACACAAACGAAAAGACGCCAAAAACCACACAATGTCCTCAATGAACAAAGAGGTTTCAAATCCAATCCTACTAATATTATAAATGAGAAAGTTTGGATGTATGTTTGTGACAAGTGAACGCAAAAAATACTGGTCGGATTGGGCTGAAATTTGGCATGATGATAGCTCACATTCCCGATTAACATATAGGCATATTCTTATTTCAAAAATCCTTTTGGAAATGGAATTATTGAATCTTAACAGCTTAAATAATAGGATTACCAACAGGGTGCAGCACTATTATTTCTTTTACATTTATGACAACATCTAATTTGCAACCAAAAGGTGAGTGAGCGTAGCGAACGAACTTCAACCTGGAGGCGAGTGAGCGTAGCGAACGAGCTAACCTGAAGGCAAGTGAGCGCAGCGAACGAGCTCCAAACTGAAGGTGAGTGAGCGTAGCGAACAAACTTCAACCAGGACGTGATTGAGCCATGCGAACGAGATAATCTTGAAAATTAAGAAAATAAACGGGG